TAACTTTCTTTAATTAAAGCTACCTTCGTTTAATTAATGTACATTTTCATTTAATAATGTTTCGAGCGTTATTGTAATTTATTACTAAATTATTTTTTTTTATAAATTATTTGATTATTTGATTGTTATTGGTAGTTCGTATTATAAATTTTCAAAACGGCATTTGATCTTAACCACAGACGAGATATATGAATAGACATTGCATGACTATGTATTTTTTTGGCCACGATTTTGCGGTCGTGAGGACCACATTACCATTTTTGTGTCACATCCTGTCGTACCAATTCAGGCAAGTTTTTCACCGCGAAAATCAAAAAATATGGACAGCCAGATTTGTTTTGAGAATTATTCATTGAATTGTACGTACTTCATCAATGAAGAAATGTAACGATTTAAAACAGAGATTGATGAAATTGGGATGAAAAATTTAGCATACATTTGACTATTAACATCTGTTTAAAAGTATTAGAGAAGATTGATTGAAATATGATATTTTTATGAACAATGTAATTAGATATGACGTTTTTTTATTTACAAATGTATAAATTCACAAACTGAATGAATTATATTTATCCCGTAAACTCGATTTTATGAAAGTTTGAATTTATCAATAAAATATTTCTACAAATATTGTTTACAAGAGAAGTACATTATGTATTGTAAAATTCCAATCAGCCCGAGCTCAACCAAAATTATCCGATTTGACCCGAAGTATCGTCTACCCACATTCAAATCTTTTGGGCAAATTTTTATTTAAATAATAAGTAATAAACTATAATTAAAAGTATAATTTTTATTTAAGTAAAAATCGTTTAAATAATATCAAAAATAATTTAATACTCACTTCTGATTTTCAAGAATGTTTATTCTATATTTAATATTATATAAAAGTTATACAAAAGTAATTTTTTACTCAATTTAATGTTTGTCTCATATTCGTCAAATATGAGAAAACTAAATGAATCACGCAAATAATATTGTCGTTAATTTTTTCTTCAATAAATCTTCGTGATAGAAATATAAATATTGCATTTAAAATTCATGGTCCATGTTAATTCTATTATTTCATTCATTGTCAGTGCGGTACTGCTGTATTGTGAAATAAATAGGAGACCTAAGATGAAAGAAAGGCATGCGTATAAATATGGCTATATATAAATATGACATAGTTTTTCTATTAATTATATTTATAACGTTTTTTATTAAATATATTTCAAGAAATAAAAAGTTTTGTTAAAAGTAATAATAAAAATAATTGTTTACTAAACATCTTTTTATTAATTTTAAATCTAAAATATTATGTTCTTTATATTTTCATTTCTTGACGAATAGAACATGAGACGATAAAATCCTCTTAGAATGCACTTCAGCAAGTATGCTTTGAATAGAAACTCTAATACCTATGTCCCTTTAAATACTTTGTTAGGAATTCGTCACGCTATGAGTCGTTTTCGGGCTCGGTCAAGAACCAAAGTAAAAATCAGAGAAAGATATATTTTTACGTCAAGAAGCTACCGCATAAAATCTATCTTGTTCTAATATAGTTTTGTGAAATTGTAAAATATAAGTTTTTCTTCTATTCCTTGATCTCCAAAAATATAATTTATATCACATAATGTGCCCCTCTGTATCAAATTTGTAAACACGTTCAATATTGGTCGATTTTGCGAGATATATAAGGATATATTCTGTAGATATATTTATATTTTTCATGAAATATTAAAGAATTATATTAAATAAATAAGAAAGTTCTATTATTGTTATAATGTTGATAGACACGGTAGTTTATATAGAAAAATTTCGAATAATATTTTGATTAATAAGCATAATTTTTAACTAATGAATTATAGAATTTATGTTATTTGTCATAACCAATGCACTGCAAAGTTAAAATAAAATTGTTAAAAATTTAACATAAATTTGAATATGTAATATAAGGAATACGAAATAAGGAAATATAATAATTTTAATTTTAATAATTTAATATTAATAATAATTTAAAATGGTTGAAAACTTTGTTAGTTAAAAATTTATACATAAAACCATGTATTAATAATTTTAAATTTTTAACTTATTATATATTAAAAAAAATTATGATAAATCCGTAAAACATGGATAGAGTTCTTTCTGATATAGAGTAGAATGATTTCGGTTACTTCGTCTATGATTACTAGCTTCATATTTCGGTATTGAAAGTTGACAACACTGTAAAAATCATGTTGCTGATTCATATACTAATTCCCCAACTCACCGTTGTCTAAACGTAGAGTTCGCTAAAAAACCAGTGATTTTTTAGTGTGTCGGTATTTCAGGTCACGGGCCATGAAAATCCGTAAGGTGCAATGTCTATTCATATCTCATCGATGCTTAACACTTTCGCGACGGGCGGTAACTGGACAAACGTTTAGCTGAATACGGCATATGATTTCTAAAAGTGTAGCTGAATACATTAAGATTCTGCTATTTATAGGTATGTGAATATTACATCTCATTGTCAGTATGATACTTATAGTCATTTGTTGTTCAAATTTTTAAAAAATTAAACATTACAAATGCGTATAGAAAAAATATTTTTTTTAAATAAAATAAATGTGATGATTTTACAGGTACATAAAATTTACTTACAATAACATTACATACATTGACTTATAGTAACAGTTTTACATATTTATTTCACATAACAATTTACGTGGTATTTATTAACAACTTGAAATATAAAATATATTAATATTGATATTTACTATTAATATTTATTAAATGAAAACAATAACAATTTAACAAATTCAGCAATATCATTTAATATTTAATAATATTATATTTTGCCATTTAGTGTGATATGTATGGCTAGGAATGGCGCTAATTTTGAAATGACGTAGACTATGTTTCCCGTCGCGAAAATGTTAATCGTTACTTTATTCGTTTCTTTCTATGCATTCATTTGAAAATTTTAGTATATTTTGTATAATAAATTAAATAAATTTTTTTGTATAAATTATTATTAGTTAATTACGATAGAAACTTTAAGACATCAAGGGAACACGCCTCGAAATTCAAAAACATGATACAATGACAAATTCGATAGTCTATTAAAGTGAATCAAGTGATAAACTTGATCGTCGATTTACATGTGATTCATTCTAACGAAAGTAAATGTATTTATACGTTTATTTTCTCTTTCTGTTGAATAATTGATAACATTATTCAATAAGCTACATCATTTTTGGAAAGAGATTTTATCGTAAATAGATATGAACACGCTCTGCACATTGCGTCTTTTCCGCCATTGACTAAGCACAGACGAGGTATATAAATAGACTTTAAATCTTAAGAATCTTCATGGCCCGTGACCTGAAATACCGACATAACAAAAAATTTCTACGATCAAACACAGACGAGACATATGAAATAAACATTGCATACAATCATTAACGAAGAATAGAATATATCTTAAACATTAAATGGAGCTTCGTGTCTTAAGGTCTGAAATACCAACCAGGAAAAATATCACTAATTTTTTAGCGCACTCTATGCTTAAACAATGGTTTGGAAAACTACGTCAAATAAAATTATACAAATTGATGAAGGAAAATAATATCCGTTATAGTGTTGTCAACTGTATATCTCTAGATACAAGAAATCAGTATCTAAATCCATTTTATATTATGTATCCATGTATACATCAGAAAGAACTCTATTCGTGTTTTTTGATATTAATACACATTTTAAATATATAATTTATACTTCATTGTTTCTAAAAATAATTTTTAACTAACAAAATTATTTCTTAAAATTATTTTAACTGGCCATTGATCATTGGTAACCATATATTTATTTAGCTTTGAGAATTCATTTTTTTGGAAGGTAAATTCTTCAATTTTGTTACTTCGTTCAATTTTGTCAATGTCTTGTTACTAAATTTGTATTTATTTATTATGATTATTGTATATACATACACGTATGTTTGTTCGCAATAATGTTACCGGATTCAATTCAATAAATAATTTTCGATGAGGAAACGGCAACACTGTCCATATTTTTTTATTTTAATTTCTATCACTAATAGCGCTTTAGTATTTGCCTAAGTCGATATAACAGGATGTAACACGAAAATGGTAGGTCAAGTGACTCCCGAAACGTGAAACACGAAAAGGCATTAGATCTCCAGTCTATGCTAGTTAGTCAATGGTACTGCATACTGACTTGGCAGATAGAAAAGGGCGCTATATTTGATTAGTATGTATATTTGATACTCTAATAACGAACATTCAGAGCAAAATTCAAATCAGTAATATTATAGAATATTGATAAATATTTGACAATATTAGGAAATATTTTACGTTGCATAATAACATTTTAATTATATATATGTTGATTAAACCTTCGAACCTTAAGAGTTCAAGAATATAAATAATTTTACATATTTAACATTGAAATACAATAATGTATAAAAATGTTCAAAAATCAACAATATATTTTCAAGAACATATTATATTTCACATATTTTAATAAAGGATTTTCACTTTTTTCTTCTTTTTTCCTATGGAAAGAAAAGTTATTCTACTAAATCAGGAGTATAAAAAACTTCAACAGAGTTTCAAAAATCAGAAATATAAAGAACTATATTTCATATTTCGTTTAATTCTATTTCTTGTATTTTACATTAATTATCATTAATTAATAAATAGAATTTTATTAAAAATTTTTTCTTCTTGAATATCATTAAAATTGTATGTTTAATAGAAATCAATCTTATTATTTTAAGTTTTTCAAATAACTGAAATTTTAAAAATATTATCTTTAAGAACAAACTGTAACCTATCCTTTGTTACAAATTTCTTTATTTTAGTATTGTAACCGCAAATATTTATTGTGATAAAAATATTCTGCTAATAGGGTCCTAAAACTCCACGAATATTAAATACGAAAATACACGTTAAATCTATCCATATATCTCGTCTGTATAATACCTGTGGTACAATACATCTTTGATTAAGCTAAATATGTTAGCCATTGCAAATCGCAGAGGGCGTAACAAACTGATTGTTTTAAAACTAATTTCAGAATATTTCAGAACGTGAGACTCGTTTCATATAATGTCCATTTTGTCTTTAGTTAATGCTCATTACCTAAAAAGCATAAAATAAAAATTATACAAAAATATCTTATTTCTAACATTGCCTAGGGAATAAATATTATATTGTAAATAAATAGAAATATTCGTCATGAATAACCCAACATTCTTAGATATAGATGATACAATATTAATGAAAAACCTAATATTACCTGTAAGTAACGATAATTTTTGAATTTTATATTGAAATCAATATCCGTAGTATTCAAATCTTTTATTTTCATAGGGAAATACACCAAAAAATGATATGTTAATAGAACAATCTGATTTTAAACCTTTCTTTACTATTCAACCTATACCAGGTAATTTCTGTTATTAATATTAATAAAATTAACAACATTCATCAAATATATAATTTCTATATGTATATTCTAGGTATATGTATAAAAACAAAAAATGATAATGGAGAAAAAATATTCTTAAATATATGTACATCTGACAAAATACCATCACCTGATGATATATCAGATGCAAAACTTTTTGAAATATTGTCACAAGAAAATCCAGAATTTGTCATACCTATGAGTATTGGAAGTGAAAGATTTGAAACTGATAAAGGTATTATATTATATGAAAAGAATAATACTAATTAATCTAATTCATGTAATTTTTTTTAGGTGGATCTCTTTGTTTGACATATGATATTGTTATTAATACAACATATTTTAAGAAATGCCAGACAAACAAAAATTTTTTACTTTTCACAATATCAGTTATAATGGATGGTGTATCAAACAAATTTGATAAAACATTAAAAATAGAAGATCATGTAATTCTTAAAAATAGAAAAGTATATTTATTTTCTAATTAAATACATGTAAATAAGGTGAAATTAATTTTAAATTTAAATTTAAAAAATTAAACAGGTTTTAGGAAAATTACAACAACACAGAATTGAAGATCGTAAGCCAAGAACTTACACACAAACTGAGAAACAATTAATTGAAGAAATTAAAACTCAAGATATTCATGAGAAAGAAAATAAAAATAAATTAGAAAATGTTTCTTCAGATACTGTTGTTAATTTAAAACAGGATTATGTATTACTGAAATGTTTAAAAGAAACATCTATACATTTGATTGGTTTATTTCAAATACCTAATGGAGTAAAATAATTTAAATTTTATATTTAATATAAATATTAGTTTGTAATGTATAATTATTAGTGTTTTCATTTAATATAGATTACAAAAGAAGAGATAGAAGTACTTCTTAATCAGGATCGTATTGTAATTACTATTGATAAAACTGATCTCACATATGATTTATCAGTTCCATACATCATAAATATAGCACAAACAAAATGTGTCCTAGACAACAATTACAGAGTAAGAACATTAATTTATTATAATTAAATTTTTTTATAATATTATAAAACATACAATTTATTTATATTTTTCACAGGTATTAAGATTAGATATGCCTGTAGAAACAGTTTTAGAAAACATTAAAACAAGTTAATTTAATCAATTATTTTATTATAACAAAAAACAATTTAACATTTATTTATATTGTAAAAAAGTAAAATATAAATTTTATTATTAATTACTTCAATCTACTTCTCTTACCAACAAAACTAGAATTTTAATATAATAAACAATATAGGTAGGTTAACAAGATTTGTTGATATCTAACTCATATAATGTAACAATATACACACACACACACACACACACTATATTTATACATACACACGCGCACGCATGTACACACGTGTACACACACACAAAACAAAAGTTACAGTTAAGCTTATAGTACTTAAAGTAATACTTATTTACATATACAGCTATGAAATGTATTTATAGAAGGTTAGGTAGTTTCCTTTATAAACCAAATTTTATATTTAAATAACTAATATTGTTGTCGTTTCATGCGTTTGAAGTAATAATGAGAAAGATTAGTCAACCTATGGAATGCAGTTTGTCACTTTTGAATATTGAAAATGCTAGTACAAAAGAATGTCGCATTACAAATAATATTTAGTTTTAAATAATTGTTATTTTTTTATAAATTTGAGTTTTTGCGGAATCAACACATTGCTGAAAACAATTACTTAAAGTATGACAACATATGATTATGTAAATTCACGGTTCATATACAAAAATTCGTCTCGTCTTACCATAAATATACAAATGAGGATGGCGATTGTATTGAAAAATTACTAAATATATACTAAAGATTAAGAATAAAGAAAACTTTTCAAAATATATTGAAATCGTTATTATTTTAAAATGGTTATTATTTTTCAGACAATTCTTTGTATATATATGTATGTATATACAAAGCAATATCACAAGTATTGGTACTGGAATGATTTGTACAACGACTATAATTTTTATATTCATTTTATAAAAGAAATGCATCATTTAATATGTGAAAAAAATGTTTTATATTTCCGTGTAAAATGTCGGTCGTTCGATTCCGATCATGGAAAATACATTTGGCAAGAAATATACTGTATTTACACCTATCATAAAACAAGTCACATATTTGTAGACTAGATCAACAAGAACCTTATTTTTATCTTCTGAATAATTTTGACTTTTTATAAGGTCTTTAGAATTAACTCTTAATATGGCACACATTATTCCATAACTAAGAGATTTACAAACAACTCTTGTTGCAAAAACACTGCAAAATCCAAGTATTGTTCTAAGTATCATGCAACCAAACATTGAATAAGTTGGCCATATAATGTCATATGGTGGTGATTTTGTAGGAGCTATCATAGCTCCAGTATTATAGTTAAGCCAAGCTCCTAAATGAACTCCAGTAGTAACAGATACTACCATAGTAGTATCACCCCTAGAATAAGAAACTGACCGTAATAATCAAATTGATACATTCGTAAAATTTAAAATCATTATGTAAATTACCTGGTTGGTGTCCATTTCCTGCTGCATGGGTAATAAACTATGACAACTATACTAATGGCAATCAAAATTGCCAAAGCCCAAATATTTGAAAGAATATAATAATCTGTGAAATCCACTAAAGGTACTAATGGAATCATTAGCGCAATGGCCAACATTAAGCCTGCTAAAATATCTAACACTGTGTGCATACCCAGATATAGTCTACTCATACACACAAGTGTACACCTTTTAAATAAATGATGACAATTGTATTTAAAATCTTTTATTAATTTTAATCAACCTATTGTTAGGGAACAATATGTCACTTACCACAGAGTTGCAATTGTCCAACCAATAGAAACAGGATAGATATATCTATTCATTGTAAATAATACTACACTAAATGGAATCGATATACCAATCATAGCATGAGTAGATGGCATTCCGTATTCTTCGGACCATTTTACTTGTAATCTAACTGCTGGAGGACATGCAGGTCTTGCCCAACATATAACATCTTTTAATATTTGACCTATATACAAATACCTTATGATACAACTATGCTTAGAAGTAAAATTTATTAAATTTTATTTAATAATAATATACCTGTTGTCATAATAATAGCCCATACTAAAACAACTCTTCTACCCACTGCACCATCAATATTCCAGAACCAAAAAGGTATAAATGTAGAATAAAATATTTCATCCCCTAATTCTGTCCCAAATAAAAACAAATAATACCAAAAGTAATTTGTTATAGTATAATTCGAATTAAAGACAATCAATGATTGCTCTTGTTTGTCACTCGTGTATATAGTCGTTTTTGTCCCATAAAGAGATCTCTTTTCTGTTATAGTATAACCATTTTCTTTCGCTCCCTCAGATTTAAATTGGCAACTATTTGAATTGCATTCATTATTTCGACAATTAGTATCATGGATTGTTGAACACGATTTCTTCTTACAATGTTCTTTCAAAGTTCCGGTATAATGTATTTTAACACCAAAACAGTTTTGTATTTTTGCTACTAAAGACGCATCTTTTAAATATTCTACAATTTCTGGCCACATAGTTTCTACATGTAATGTACAAGTTTCATCGCAAGAATAACATTTTACTTGGCAATTTAGTAACTTATTAAATGAATTGAATATATGAATACAGCGATGATGAATTCATTAAATTACATAAAGAATCGGGTAGAAAAAATTAATGAAATGCAAATAATTTAATCTAAATCTACCGCGTCAATGTTAATTCATTTATTAAATATTCACCGAATTATTTACAAGAAATGTAATTCTTTTAAAATTTTTATTTCAAACGTCTGAAATTTAGAAAAAAGATACTTGACTAATTTAAACGTGTTCGGATAACCGCAAAATTTATGATACTCATATACATCATCTTTAAACACAACACTTTTTATCACTCTTAACTCTTGTAGCACATTATTGTACGTATACATATTCCATAAAATACATATAGTTACAGAAGAAATGCTGCAACTTAGATTCTCCACTTCAAGCTAAATCAATGCTTGTTACTTCATGGTTGTTTTACAATAAAATCGATAGTTACATCTCGATTATGTATCGAGATTGATAAGACACATAAGAAATTTATCAACCTCGATATACATATTGATATTTTTAATATTTAGAAGAAAAAAAAGATGCAGAGTATATATAATTAAATAAGAAAAGATCTGATGGGAAAAGGATTGTTTTTATCTCTTTTATTTAATAATTTATCTTTCACCTTAATTGCAGAATCCTATATACAATTATAAAACTTACAAATAAACCCCATTCCTATATATTACAATATACGAAATATATAACGAGTTATAATGTAATAAAATATTTAAATTTAAAAATGCAATAAAAAACATTTCGGATATTATCATTCCTTTTTATCAATGCGAGATATCTTTCACTTAACAACTGAAATATATAAAATAAAATTTTATCACAGAAATATGTATTTGAAATTCAAACATTCATTGTATTAATCTACGATTGAAACATCTGTCCGATAAGAGCAAAACTTTTAACAGCTAAAGAAACATCAGATATATCCGAATTCGTGTGTATGTGCAAATCTGCTGTGTTAACAGCATTTGCATTAACAACATTCTGAGAATTTATTTTTTGGATATTATCGATATAGGTTTTATTATTTTGTGTGTTTATCGCATTAGTATTATTTAGATAAACCTGCGGTAAAACTGTAATAATAGGAGTTGGTGAAGACGTCTCAGATTCACAATAAGTTTGTATATTTTGTGTTGAATTAGATTGATAGCTGTTATACTGTGCTTTACATTTTTTCTCGTGTACAAATAAACTACCAGAATGGCTATATGCAGTGCCACAAATCTTACAAGCATATGGTTTTTCTCCTGTATGGGTAAATTTGTGCTCTTTCAAATACTTTAATCTTCTAAATGATTTTCCACAAGTTTTACAATGATAATTTGCTTCTCCTGTATGTGTTGTAATGTGTGCTTTAAGTGTACATGATTTGGCAAAAGCAGCACTACAGAAATGACAAACAAATGGTCTATCACCAGTATGAGTTCTTTCATGATTAATACAATTAGAATTTGACGTAAATCCTCTTCCGCAATATTTACAAACGTGAGGCTTGTATCCTGTGTGCGTTCTCATATGAAACATGAGACCTGTATTTTGTCTAAAAGTTTTGCTACATATGTGACATAAAAATCGCTTAAAATTTACATCTTGTTGTTCTTTAGCACGTTCATGAATTCTTATATGTTTCTGCAATTTAATTTCTTTCTCAAAGGATTTATTACATTCTCCGCATCGATATGGTTTTAATATTTCGTTTGATTTATGTTGGTCTTTCTCCTTTTCATCACAAGCACACATCTTACCGCATGATGTGCAGTTTTCTCTTTCTATATTATGCATACTCAATTGATGTTTCAATAAAGATTTTTTTGTATCATATGATTTTCCACAAATTTTACAAGGAAAGCCTTTTTCTTCATTATCTGAATCAAGTTCCTCTCGAATCCAACTATTTATTAATTTAATGGCTGACTTGTCATCACTTGGTTTTTGTATTTCTAATACTGAATTTTCATTATGTCCATATCGATTCTTGTGGCTGTTTAATCTATCTTGTCGGAAGAATTTCATATTACAAACATTACAAACAAATTTTTTTCCAATATGAATCTGTAAATGTTTTTGAAGTAATTTTTCGTTCGCACAACGCTTAGTACAGTAGTTACATCGATAAGGTACTTCATAATCAGAAGAATCAAAGTTTTCAATAGTTACCTCTGATAATAAAGAACTAGACTTTTTATCTTTAGATTCTAAAGCCTTTCTTTTAAGGACATTTGAAGTAATACTTTCACTAATACTTTCTTCCTCTGTTTCTTTTTCATCTTTACTATTTCCCACTTCTCTTTTTTCTTGTTCAATTATGTTTTCCAATTTTCTTTTATCTCTAATTTCTTTTAGAATAGAGAAGACTTCCTTTGGATTAGTTCTTTTGTGAACATTTAAATGTCTTACCATAGTATCAGTTTTTCTAAAATTTCTGTTACATATTTTACATAATACTGATTTAGGTTTTTCCTTAACAATATGTAGTTTAGTATGCTGTATTAATTTATCAAGTTGAAAAAAGTATTTGTTACATTTATCACATGTAAATTTTTTTTCATCATGAGTTAATATATGTCTATCCAAAGACCTTTTGGTAGAATAACACCTAGTACATTTTGGACAATTATAAGAACTTTGAGACTCTACTTTGTTTATATCTGCTGCATTATCCCATTTAATGACTGTATTCTTTTTTATATATTGCCTTTGTCGTTCTTTGTGATTTTTTAAATTTTCTATAGATGTTACTCTTTTAAACATTGTCATTCTTCTTGTTCGATAAACTTCCTTTCCTGTAACATTTTTTTCATATTCTGCTTGCTTACATTTGATATAAGCATTTTGTTTATTTAGGTTACTATTGGATTCTTTCTCTTCTGTATACTTTGATTGATTAATTACTTCATGATCTTTTATGTCTTTAGTATCAGGATTAAGAATTACTGTTGGATAAGAATTATAACCCATTGCAGAAAATGAAACGTTTTCAATTTTGATTAAATCAGAAGTAAATGAATAATCAGTCTGACAATATTGATCCTAATAAATAATAAACAGCAAATTAAACAATTTTTTAATATTGCATTCCTTGTTTACAAATATGTCAATACTTACTTTTGTAGTCTTACATAAATTGATGTTATAAATGTTTTCCACTTTACCATACAATTCTCTTAATCGGATATCAGATTGCTGACATTGCTTTCTTAATTCATGAGCATCATTGATTTTTAATATACATTTCGTGCAAATAGTGGAAGGTAAACCATCATTCTCCAATACCTGCCCAGTAAAGATAAAGAAATATAAAAAATATAGAAAACCAGAAAAAAAAATTTGAGGAAAAAGAAAGCCATTGGAATTAAACTGACCTTCACACCAGTACACAAACGAAGTTTTTCGGACAAATCAATTATATCTTCATTAATCAAATTACTTCGCTTACCATCGAAAATATATTGGTTATTTTGATTTGTTGCAAGACAAACACGGCAAATATTGCCACAGTCATTTGATAAAATTGTTGCTTTATTTTCGACTTCCATTGGATTTTAGTTAAACTAAATGTTTAACTAGAAATTTACATTTAAATTCTTTACAATCGTTAACGAAAGATCATAATTTAGATATGATGCGCTAGCATTTACTATCACACACGTTATTTCTTTTTCCTGAAAGTTCATCAATGTCTCTGGTAGAGTTTCTATGATAATTGTGAAAATTTAATATATCTTAAGCATAATTATTTTTTCGAAATAATGATCTTTCAATATTATTATTACTATTGTTTATTACAATATATAGTTGAAGTTTGTCTTTAAACGTAACGTAAAACATTAAGAAAAGAGGAGGAATATAAATACAATGGTAATCTGTTTATTTCACTTGTTCATGACATAAGCAAGCATAACGAGAGACTAAAATACGTAAATAGTGATTTGAAGTGTTAACGGATTTAGAAGATAACTTTTTGTCAAATTATATAAAAAGCAGTTTTATTATACAATCAAGTAATGGAAAATTTACCAACGAAAAGAAGTTATGAAGACGATAGTAATACACCGAATGTTAAAGAGAGAAAAAAACATAACACTGATCGGTACTTAACCTATGATATTTTAAGGATTGTATTTAAATATCTGAATTGGATAGACTTATCGAATGCATCGATGGTTTGCAGGTGTGAAAATATTTAATACTTTATTAAGTGTTTGTATTCCAAATAAAAAAAAAATTCATTGTCAAAAATTTATTTATTCAAAAGAAACAAGCTTCATAGAAACTAGTAAAATATTTTTACTATGTAGCGCTTTGTATTTCAGATCCTGGTTAGAAGTGGCAAATGACGAAAAACGAACTAGGGGAGGTCCTATTTGTTTAATAAATTGGGGAAAAAAATATCTTAAAGTTATAGAAAAATTAAGAAACAAACCTACATTAGGATTAGTTTTTAAAGCTCCACATAAAAGAAATGTTAGGCAAGGTATTTTTTTATTATTTATATTATACCTCAATTTTTTTTCATTTTGAGATATATATTTGATTTTGCTTTTAATAATTATATTTGCTTATATCAAGATTGTCTTTGTCAAATTCTTCCACAAAGTTGTGAAATTATAACATTGGGCACATGTGGTATACTTATTGAAAATGCAGAAATGGAAACAATTCTTGAAGAAAGAGTGTGTGCATTCCTACCTGAAATACCTAATGTAACAATCAAAGTAATTACAATTGTTTCAAAAGATGATTTTGCACAATATTATGAACAAATGAGACTAGCTCTTGCCAAACATGGAATAAACAGATCTAAATGCCTTCTACTATTTTGTAATCAAGCAGGTCGTGCTTTAGCACGAGAAGCTGCAGGTGTATTGCAATTATGGTAAAACTTTAAATTCCATAATATATAATATTATAATGTATTATAATAATGTAATGATATTTTTACATTTAGTAATGCAACAGTCAGACCTTCAGTTTGGGGAGGAGTAGTCAAGGATTTATATGTATGTAATTCAAAAAATCCTATTCATGATGAGAAATGTGTTACATTTGCATATTGTATTGGAATTACTATAGTTGGATCAGTAGATTCATGGTCTATAGTTATGGATGATGATTGCAATACTAAGGAACTAGTTGAACAGAAATTGGAATCATTTAAGAATCATATTTCTTTAAGGAAACATTCCATGGGTTTCATGTTTGCATGTTGTGAACGTGGAACAAATATGTTCAATGAACGGGATGTGGAGTCTACTATTTTTAAAAAATTATTTCCAGAAGTACCGTTAGTAGGCTGTTTCGGTGATGGTGAATTCGGAGAAACTACGATACCAAGCAGTAAATATAAACTTTTATTATAACTATAGATGTTATTATAATAATGAAAAACTCTATAATTTTATTGTACATTTTTTCAGAGAATTTTAATGATACAAAAGAATATTGGTATCATGAAAGATCAACTGTTTTTTTAATAATTACATATGGCTAAAATTTATAAAATTGACTTGAATCTATAACGAAAAAATCAGAATGACCAATTTAAAAAATATCTTAAAGACATTGCTAATTGTAATATAAAAACTCAACAATTATGACTGAACTATGAAAAAATGTGTTGCGTGACAATGTATATACATTAATGTATAATGTATAATGTATTTTATGTTTGTATAAATTTTTTTATGTTGCTCTCTAATTTGTTATTTCCTTGTAAAAAAGTCGTTATGAAACTTTTTTTATTTATCTTAAAAAATGGATTTCCTGAATGATAAAGACAATTTTTAAATGATTATCAGTATGGAACAACAACCTTGCTTAATATCCTGTATGCGTTACTATTTCAACGTGATATGAAAACACCTAGCATATCCGGACAAAAACCTGTACCTCTTTGAATACAATTATAATGTTTAAAACATCGCCAGACAATCACTTGATAGTATTTCCGCACATACGATGATACCGAGGTAAAGATAAAATAAAGAAAACTGGGCCATGCGAGAGTTTGTTTATATTTAGTATGATATTGTCAGGGTTTATAAGGTTGTACTTTGAAGTTTTCGCCATCCAATGAAGTCAAGTACGGATATATAAATACTTGAGCACCAAAATCTTCATTGCGTGAGAGTCTTGCATATTTTAATAATATTACTATAATTTTTTAACAATAAGTACGATATATTTAAAAGTGAAACAATGATTATATTAAATTTATTCACATACTTTGTAGTTATATCTATTATTTTATTTAATTTTGTGGTTTGTGAAGTATGGAATAGCGGACTGCGAGAAAGGTATGATGGATATGGAGTGGATTGGCTTTTTATGCCTGATGGAAATGATCAACCACAAGTTGCAGTACTGAAATATACAGAAAATGATGAACGAGGCATTTTTGATGACTCACAAGTTTCTTATATTCTTCATACTCGGTATTTAATAAAATTTATACATTTATAAAAACATGTTTTACAATTTTTTTGAAATATCTAAATATCTAAATATATTTCAAGATCTAGTCCAGAAAATGGCTCTCAATTATATATTAATAATACTAAAGGACTTCAAAACTCTGGTTTCGATCCGTCTCGACAAACTAAATTTATAACACATGGATGGAAATCAAGTATAATGAGTGCTGGTCTCATCAATATGAAAGAAGGTATTGTAATTTAAAAAATTTAAGAACATAATTCTAAAAAATCGTTATCTTTTATCGTGTGTTATAATTATATAGCATATTTACAATATAATGATTTTAATATCATTATGGTTGATTGGCAACCTTTGGCTGCAAGCACGTTCTATCTTGGACCAATGCATAATACAGAAAGAGTAGGAAGAATAACTGCTGAATTTATTGATTTCTTAGTCGCAGAAACAGGACTTAAAACCGAAAATATTCATTTTCTTGGTATATATTATTAATGTGAATTTAAAACATAATTATTCTATATTTTTTATATTTTTATTATTTTATAAAGGGCATTCTCTTGGAGCGCATGTAGCTGGTAATACCGGAAGTTCAGTAACTTCCGGACGCTTAGGAAGAATAACTGGTTTAGATCCTGCTTTACCAGGATTTCATTTACTTGCTTCGGATAAAACTCGATTAGATCCTACGGACGCTATATTTGTTGATATTATTCATTCATGTGGAGGAGTCTTAGGTTATTTACAACCTTTAGGAAGTGCAGATTTTTACCCAAATGGAGGAACTCCTGTTCAACCTGGTTGCTGTTGTATTCCAGAAATAATAGGTAACGAATTATTTGTATATTTTAAATGAATATATTTATGTTCCTTTCTATTTACATATTTATATTCCTTTATAGAGGCATGTAGCCACGGTCGGGCACACGTATATTTTACCGAAAGTATTGGTTCTAAAACTGGATTTGTGGCGAATAAATGCGATACTTGGGATCAATTTATACAAGGAAGTTGTAATTATTCTAAAACTACACTAATGGGAGAACATGTTGATAAGATGACTACTGGAACTTATTTTCTCAAAACAAGATCTGAGTCTCCTTATACTGATCAAACGGAAATAACTGATAATACGATTTAAATAAAGTATTTAATATTTAAAAGTAAAACATATTATATATAAAATTGTTAAAGAATAAAATATAATGAAAATGACATATGCAAGATATTTAGTGGAAAATATTTCATTTTAATAAATAATAATTACATTATTTAACATTTCAAATACAAGAAACTTTATGCTTTGTCAATTTCCAAATATTTGTTTGAAACGTTGATATTTTATCTTACCTACAAAATACGCCTTGATTCGATGTAACTAACAATTGCCGATAACTTCGGGAATGACTTAAGGATCTTAAATTGGTTTGTACAATAAAGTCGTAACATATTTTTTGCGATAACGATGTGTCGCCGATAGAACCATTACGCTATCCTTAATACTTAAAGCATATAAATGATTTAACATAACGTGATTTGGTTCTGGTAAAAGTGTTGGTTCACACTAAAATTGATATTGGTAAAAATGATATTACTATATTTTGTAACAGATTAAAATATTTCCTAATAGTTTTTTGTAAACTTACAGATAAAGGAGTATCTTTATTGAGAATAACTTGAAGCAAATGAGGTGGCAATATTGGTGGTCCAGCCACTTTCTCCCAGGGTTTATGAGGAGGAATTTCCTGTCCATATTCTGTTTGAGCATTACTAGTAACACTTTCACTGTCTTTTGCAAGAGCTTGGAAGACCTCAAAATCAGATTTTCTAACAGATACCAAATTATTTTTGGAACCCATACCATTATCAACAATTTTCTATCAACAAAATATTTTAATTATAACATATAAAAATTAACGTATATTTTAATATTATTTGAGATTAGAAAAAATTATTTCTTACTATATCTGGATCATGTCTCCATTCACCATCAACGAAAAACTTATATTGATGTTCACCCTCTGGCAAATCAATAATTGTTACAAAATCACCATGACTTTTAACCATTGGTAAAGTTTTCCATCCAGTAAAAGTTCCACTAATATAAACCTGTTTACCACCTCCCTCCCATTTAAAAACTGTTGGTAGCACTTTGCTGTCTGTTACCTTGGTTCCTTCTGACACTGTATTAGAGCGTGGACGTTGAGAACTAAATTCTTCTCCATCTTGTTGAGTGTTAGTCTATTAATAAAAAAAATTAAAGAAATTCTTTAATAGAACTTTCTCCAAGTTTACAGATAAAATAATAGTGAATTATTAAAAATACTTTGGCAAAATAAGATTCTTCATCTTCGTGAGACGATTGAAAAACTAATTTTTGGCTTGGCTTTTTATCAAAAACAAAAGCGTGACCTTCCTTCCCTGGTGATGGTGGAGGATATTCTTTAACATGACGATGTTCTCTATTTGTGTTGCTACTGTGATGATGACTAACTGGTTGATTGCTTCCAGCATTACCCATTATCACTATGAGTTCCTACTACATAAAGATAAAGTTCATAATTTGAATTATTTATTTGTAAATCACTAAAAGAATATATACTGGAAACTATAACTGCATTTTCACTTTTCCTTAAAATTTATTTTGTTTACAAGAATCTAAAAATTTGAATTTTATTTTGTTTAAATAAAATGACGGTCAAACTTTAAATTAGAAGTATGATTTCATTTTCATTGAGATTTTCTAATTTATACATACATTATTCTTGAATCACAAATCAAATATACTGTAAAAAGTCAAAATGTCACGAAACAGTACAATAAAAGTAATGATTCTATAAGATTTGACTAAAAATGGCTACCTCACTTGTTAAAAATCTTCTTATCAGCAAAGTTGATGAAATATATAGGAAAACGGAATGCGAAAGTAACGCTCTCTTTGCACTTTCGATTTTGAATCATTATTCGTATATGAATAGATATATTATTCATGTATTCAAAATTCAATATTGAATAAACATGACATAATACGGAACACAGGCAACATGGATTATTCTTAATCAATGATAGAACTTCATTTACGATTCACATGTGAAGTACCAACACAAAAAAAAACAGTTTTCTTACGCCCTCTACTGTAGTGACATATTACATTATATTCAATACAATCGTCAAACATGATATATAAATACCATTGTTTTAATTCGAAAGTTAATTCGACAGTGTGTTTTATTTTGTTTTTATTAAATAGTCAATTGGAACGATAATTTTAAGCAGTAAATTATATAAAAAGAAACATTATTTTAGTAATTAGTTAGGTTATATTCATTGAATTAATGAACTAAAAGATTATTTGTTTTAAAGTTAAAATCATTCAAAAAATCATTTTCTTGTGAGAAAAATCTGAAGAAGTTTTTTATTTCATATTTTAAATTAAATGATATATCGTATAAAATGTAAACATAATTTGATTTTGAGTAAAAATTACAATATGAAACAGAGAAATATATAATCATACGTATATTGCGAATATTCAGTTGATATACTTTATTTCAATTGATTTATAATTTATACCTGATTTATAATTTATACCTATGATTTATAATTTATATAAAGATGAAACATAGAAGTACCAGTTTTTGATGAAAAGCAATTTAAATTTTTGTTTTTTACATTGCCTAAAACATCTAGGATTTAAAATAAAAAGAATTGTATAAAAGAATCAATTTAATTATGTACTAATTATATTTATAATAATATAGTAGATATATAGTAGACATACATAAATATTTATACATAAATTATGGATAAATACTACTGAAAACATCCTTAGGTGAAAAACTTTGTTTTTTTCTATAATCAATTGAATCTTATTTATGTATATTCCCACAATATATCTTATGCAAATTAGTTTGCAACTCTCTCATATGAGGTTAATCTATTTTTGAAAACTGTTCAATTAAGATATCCTAACTGCATAGTTAATATTTTCATCGTCCTTTCATGTTACTATAAGCTTACTATAACTTAACATATACATTTTTACTTACCAATATATTGTTGGCCAGTAATTTTTGAACACTTCTATATGAAAAGATTGTATCGCGTAGTTAGTGAAAAAATACAAAATATATAAACAATATGACTTTGAAATTAATTTAAGTTTTATATATAAATTTACCTCTATCAGGATCAGATTTCTTGACCGAGATGTGACAATCGAGAGCCTTATAATAAATGTAAATAAAGATGTTTACTATTTATTACATCGTCAATGATAATCTCTTCTAGTAGTTTGAAATCCTAAGCACTGTATCGAAATTTGTCAGTAATTCATAATTATTCTGTATATCACAAAGAACATTATCCTTATTTTACGGATTTATGATAGTTTTTTTTGTATATAGTAAATTAAAATTTCAAAATTATTATGGTTTTTGATATAACTGATTTATATTTTATAAAATAAAAACTTAATAAAATCCTTCAAATCTTTAAACTTAAATAAAATCCTTAAAACAATTTTTAACTAATTAAATTTTCAAGTATTTTAAATTATTATTAATATTAAAATATTAAAATTTCCACATTTCCACATTTAATTATATTACATATTCAAATTTATGTTATATTCTTAATAATTTTATTAATTATTTTATTAATTATAGTATTATGCATTGGATATGACAAATAAATTCTATTTTATTCATTAGTTAAGAATTACGCTAACTAAAATATTGTTCGAAATTTTTCAATAAACTACTATCTTCAATAAACAACCTAGCAATATTATAATAATAACAAAACTGTTATTTATTTAATATAAATCATGATTTCATGAAGATTTAATGAAAAAAACAAACATATACGAGTATATCTTTATATATTTCACAAAATCGATCAAAAAAATGTTTTTACAAATTGGTACGGAGGAATATACGTAGTGCAAATTATATTTTTGTAGGTCGAGTGTTGAGGGAAATTTTAATGAAATAGTTTATGTTTTTCAACATGGCGTTGTTGAACTCAACTAAGATCCTGAAGTTAAGATCCATACGCGAAATAAAGACTACTAATTATTAACTACTTTACAATTTCATAGAACTTTATTAGAACAAAATAAGATTTTCCATTCGGTAACTTCTTGACATAAAAATATTATATATGTTTCGTCGCGTTTATATATCTTTTCCTGATTTGTTTCTGTCTTTTTCTGATTGTTTGATCTTTGATTAAACCTGAGACAATCCATACCGTTTTTTCTAATTTCTAACGTTTTTAAAGGATTTCAAATCTCCTAATCAAAGATTTTTAATTTGTTTTAATTTTCAGAAAGAAGTTCGTTTGAAGAACTGCTGTGCTCGTAATAATATACACCTCTTAAATTAATTGTATGAAGATTTCTACTGCAAAAATTATTTTACTTATATACTATTTTAGATGATCTAACTCAGCAATTGAAATAATACACACACACGATTATAAATTATATATACATATATAACATATATTTTAAATTCAAAATTAAAAACAGCATTTTTAACAAATAATTGTTTTTAATTGTTTTTAATTAGCACGTCCATGTCGTACATACCATTGGCATTAACGTTTATTGCATCTTTGTAACTGTTTTTAAACGCAATATTTACATTTTTACAAAAATATTTTATATTTCTATGAAAATTTGTTGAAAAGATTTACCATAATGATTCGTTGAATTAACATTCAACAAATTTCAATATTTATGGAAAGCAATGATATTATTTGCGTGACTTTTTCATCTGGTTTTCTTATATTCAATAACAGATGTGAGAAAATAAAAAATTATATTTATTTTATCTAATTTAAATATAAAATAAATATATTCTTAAAAATCAGAAATGTGGATTAAATTATTTTTACTTAAATAAAAATTATACTTTTAATTATTGTTTATTATTTATTTAAATAAAACTTTGCCTACATTATTTGGATACTTTGAGTCAAATCAGTCGATTTGGTTGAACTTGGGCGAATTCAGAGACATAAACGAACTTACCTATTTCGCTAGTGTAACTTCGTCTGTGCCGAATATTAAATGGATTTCATGTCTGATTATTCTGAATGAACTATTTATCTTCAAAGTCTAAAATACGGACTAAAAACAAAATCACATTTTTAGTGCAATAAACGCTAGCTTAAATAACGGTAAATTGGAAAACTAAAATAATATAAGTTGGCAAATCAACAAATTAGTTTCATTTTCATTCCCACATCAGTCACTTTAACAGTTTGTTTAGATAATCGCATCGACTTTTTTAAAACTCTTTTTATTGTCTTGCATAACAAAAAGAGTTGAATATTTAGACGATATCAGTCGGAAAATTTACTCAAACCTTTTACTGAATTATTAAGTTTTTTGTATAAAAGGAAGACAAAACAAAAAATAAAAATCTCTGTACGCAATGATAATATTTAGAAAATTATATTATTTGATATAAAATTATGAATTATATATATGATGTAATTTAATTTGGAAAATATTGTTACAATTCTGTTATTTAGGAAATGTATTAAGTTATATAGGGAGGTCTTTTCATGGATGGGATTTAATGTCTGTTAATATATATTATAATATACGTTATAATATATTGCTGACCACACAGTATAGCATCGAAACAAAATAAAACAAAATAAACTAGGTCTTACGCGTTACAAGATAAATGTCACTAATTATAATAAATTATAATAAAATACATTAAAATATATTAACCCAAATGGCTAATGTTTAATCGATGGGAGACTAGAGCAAAGCAAATATACAAACAAATAGATAATAACGTAAATAAAATAATAAATAAAATAAGAAAAACATATTAAAAGATAAAATATAATAAGTTAAAATACGTTAAGAAGAGTAATTCGATAAAATAAATTAAGTTATAATCCCTTTTAACTTAGGATAGATTTGTCTCAACAAGCCGAGAGGGCAGCAGTTAAGAGCAAACCAATTAAAATTAAAGAATCAAAATAAATACAATAGGTGTAGGAAGTATTTATATACTGATAAATTTCAAATAATTTTTTATATAATTGTTGTTTATTAAATAATTTTTATAAAATAGCCTTGATAGTCTTGATTCTTTAAGTGCACAATACTAGCAGATAAATTAATGCACTAACAGATAAATTAATGTTTATTGTAAATTGTAAATTTTAATGTAAATTATAAGTTGTAAATTATCTTTTAAATGCTTCCCAGCACTTGTTTTTAGAATTTAATCATTTGAATAATTTGACTAATATACTGATTGATTTTTGCAGACATCCACTTCTTTTTCTTAATCCATATCTAACAATTAAACTTTGTATAGTAGATTTTGATCTGTTAACAGTTCATGAAATATCTGCCAAACTTTTACACTAATCGTATAAATTAATAATAATTTTTTTTCTTCCATTGCGAATTCCGTACCTTTCTGGCTCATTTTTCAATAATAGTTTTAAATAGTGCGAAGTTATAGGTGCTGAAGTCTATAACATTTCTCAGTGTATTGATATGATTAACGCACGTTATCTAGATTTAATTAGTATAAGTTAGAATATCACTATTTTAGATATAAATTAGAATTTAGTTTAATTTGTAAGTTGATAGTGAGTAAGATTACTTCTTAAGTGCGCAAAAAAGGGCGCATGGCTGGTAAAAAAAGAATAAGTCTGAGTCAATTTCTCCGTTTTAGTTCACTGTATTTTTTACGTCCCTTAAAAAATACTACAAATGAGTATTATGATCTTTGCAATTTATAAGCATTATAACATATTACGGCCATTAAGAATTCATGTTTAACTCAATCGTCGAAAATAATAAAATAAATATGCTATGCTATGCTATGCTATGCTAATTATTTTTTGAATTCTAAAAATTATCATATTGCAGCCGTGTTAGATTATATTTACTTGTCTTTTGTTTTTATTCAATTCGGATTTAAATATTCTGTTTTAAATATATTATTCTTTTATTATTTTATAAAGTATTTTTTATCTTTTAATTAATAATAAAAAAAAAATTTAATTGTTTTTGTAAAGAACACTTAACTTCGGCACACGTGGTGAGGACCTTACGTTATTGTTCATGTTAAGAAAAGTAATGTCCCTAGGAATCTTGTCGATATATCCGCCATAAAATATGGTAGCTTTTCAAAAAGGACTTTGTAAAAAGAATTTCCTTGACAAAGAGTGACGCAGATTTCTGATAATTTTTCTAGCAGTCGGATGGTATATTAACTTAACTTAAAATATTTTACAAATAGTTTGTTGTTTTTTGTGCCTTCCTTAGTTTGTTATATTTCTTAAATTATTTTAGTCTAGTTAATGATATAATTATTGACTACTAGGGATATATTTTACATAGATAGAAAACAATAGTGGTAGTGGCGAATCTAGGGAAGGACAAGTCCTTTAATAAGTTTCAAAACGGAACAAAGAATCTAATATCGCACTGCCACTTTCATATTCTTAAAAATAAAATTTTGTAATTAACATAGAACTTTTCAGTGAATTTTGTAAAAAATAATTGAAATAGTTTTTTATAATCATACAAATTTAAATTGTTTCTAAATTTGCTAATTAGCAAAATATAAAATGGCAAAATATATAAATGTAGAAGATGGATTTACCATCAAGTATGCGAATTTAAATTTTATAATAATATAAATATTATAATAAACGTCAAATAATTCAAAATGGAATGTATGTTTTAGTGATTTAACGTTAAAAGATGGACTTGTTTTTGAAATTAATGATGATTATGAGAAGTTCGAAGATGAAGAGTTTGGTTATTCTGCGGACATATCATTAACTAACGAGGAGGCATTAAATCTTTTAAATATGGATGATTTCGAAGATGAAGATAACTGTGATGATAATAATACAAACCATCAAATAACAATTTGTGGTATTGGTTTTGAAAAATTAAAAACTAAAATGACTGACGTTTATGAAAATGGAAAAGTAAGTTATATTTCTTGATGCTGTTAATATATTACAGGTTTTTCATAATGTTTTTTTTTTTTTAATATTAATCGTAGGTAATGAAATTAATAAAACAAAAAGGTGTTGGGAATTTTGTACCATCTGATGCACAAATTACTATGAAATATATAGGACATTTTGAATATACAGATGAACCATTTGACTCTAGTTTCGCTCGTGGAGGAGCAGAAACTTTTTGCCTCAATCAAGGTGCATTAATACCTGGTTTAGAAATTGGTATTTCGACAATGCAAAAGCACGAAATAGCTATATTTATTATACATCCGGATTTGGCATATGGAAAATATGGTTGTGCTCCGCGAATTCCTCCAAATGAAGAAATATTATTCGTTGTGCATTTAATTGATTATGTAGATAATGGATCTGTTAAAAAATTTCAAAGTTTATCTTTAGAAGAAAGAAAACAATTTGTAAATGTTGTTAAGAGTGCACAGGGTAAATTTAATACTGCCAAAGATTGCTTTAGTAAGCAGAAAATTAAACAAGCAATAAGAGAGTAAGTATTTTTTTATTATTATATAAATAAAAAAATAAGTTTTTATATTATTAAATAACAATAATTATATCAATATTCTAATTATTGTTTTTAGATATGGAAGAGCACTTCAATGGTTAGAAGAAGCTGAACTGAAAGATCAGCAAGAGGAAGATGAATTAAATAAATTACTTTCAAGAGGCTATAATAATCTTGCAGTTTGTTACAATATTGAAAATATGCCACGTCGTGCTTGCGGTGCATGCAACAGAGTTCCTATACCTACAGCTAAAACTCATTTCAAGTATGTTGTATTAAAACAAGTTTTAAAAAATATTTATTTACATGTACATTTTGCATTTATTTTGTAGCCATGGACGGGCATTATTGAAAATGGGAGAGTTCTCTAAAGCAATGGAAAGATTGCAACTTGCTCTAAAAATGGAATCTGAAAATATGGAGATTATTAAGGAAATTAGACTTGTGAGTTAATAAAATCAAAAAATATACAGTATTAAAATATGTGGACATAACTTCATTGATGTTTTGAGTACATTAAAATAGGAAAAAAATTTATCTATATTTATCTATATTATATTTGATATAACTTTGTTTCTGAGATAGACTCGAATTTCTATTTTTCAATAATTCTTTTGACAAACAGTCCTTCATTATAAATACTAGTTATAAATGTATTATTGACATTTGCTAACAAATTCAAACAATACCAGGTAACTTTAAACAAATCAGAATTTCAATGAGAAAACACTTGTATTTAAGCTTGTAGAGGCTTGTATTTGAGATGTTGTATTTGGGTATGGTCACTTTGAGTGAAAAAATAAGTAAATAATAATTGATGGCTGTAGCTCAGAAACAAGGTCATATTGGACATGTGTTTATATGAACTCTTTCTTATTTTAATTGTGCTGATTTCAGTGAAGTTATGCTCACATATTTTGACAGTCTGTGTCTTCCGTTTCTAAAAACATTTTATTGTATTTGTTATTTTTAGGCAAATGAAAAACATAGAAAGTATTTGGAAACAGAAAAGCAGCTTTGGAAAAATTGCTTAAATGTTAAAGAAAAGAAAAAAGAACAGTCTTCTTTTGAAAAAGCTGCATATGAGATGTGCAAAAATTTTTCTGAGGATAATCATCTTTTGAGACAACCACTTCCTGAATCTTTAACATCTGAGGAAGACAGATGTATACGCGAACAAGCCGCAGCTTTTAATTTGGTTGTTACCACGCATCAGAGATATGGTAGAGAAATAACATATCTTAACAAATCTAACTATTAAAATTAAGTATTACTTAACTATTAATAATTACTTAACTTAATAATTAACTATTAAAATTAAGTATTAAAATTTAAGTATTACTTTAGTTAGAATATGATACTGATATCAAAAAAGTAATATTATATTTTTATACTGTATTATATTTTTATACTATAAAAAAATTATTTATAAAAATTTTCTTCTTAATACTTATACTTCTTAATACTTCTTAATACTTTAAAATCTTTCGACAATTTTCATATTTCTGTACCAATAATATAGGAATATTATTTTTATATTTAATAAGATAAAAAACATATCAAATAGTAAATACAAATATTTCATTTGTGAGAAAATGGTAAATCTACAGTATATAATTATGTAAGTAATAGGAAACTACATATACTGACGCTTTATAGAGTAATCTTCTGGGAGAGATTTTCTGATTTCGTTACCAAATCGTACTCTATATTTTCGTCTTACGAAATCCCAATCCACTACATTTTCGATTCTTATTGAATCTTTCAAAGACAACTGACTTTCTAATGGACTTGATCGAAGTAATGGAAAGTTGACATCATGTTGCTGAGATAATCCATTGTCCTAAGTAAAAGGAGAAATTTTTATTGCTATATTTTATTTATTTATTATTTATCGACTTTTTACTTACTTGACTAAATGTGTGTCCCGCAAATAAACGTATTATATCAGTTTTACGTTCGTGGCTTCGATTTTTAAATATTTTCCTAATATATGGAATCCAGGAAGTAATGAGATTCAATGGCGAAGGTGCAGTACGTGTTCTTAAAAAAGATAAATATTTCGAGCTTATATTTATAGCAAAGCAATATGTCGTATTAGTTATAAAAAATTTTCCGTTTTTTTACAGTAAAAAAATTTGATTTTGATATCTACATATTTTGTGAATTACTTACTTTTGCATTTTACGTATAAGTTTGCTTAATCCATATTTCCATTCGATGTCGCTTTGTGACTGAATATTTTGATATGTATCGGTCATCATTGCGATTAATAGATTGATTAGTACAATAACACTAACCAACATGTACAGAGAGAAGGATATCTGTCAAAATATGAAAGCATTAAAACATTGTCAATCCTTCAAGTATAAATCATGCACAACAAGGAGTTGTAAATATTGGCCTGACCTTAAAAAAGTATATCGTCCAATTTGGTTGCATCTTTCGTTTCAGTGATACCGTGAAGTCATCTGTATCCTTTTGGCCGAAAATAGCGAAGAAAAGATTCTCCGTAATATCGATGGGATTCACTTTCACTGAAAGAACGTAATCAAGCGTCTAAGATTATCAAAGATATTTTTAGAGGGACGCAAAAATCACGTCGTGTCTTCAATTATATGATTTATTTTACGTGAATTTGCACTGTAATCGTTGCATTCCAATTGCGAAATTTAATGATACTGATTGATACTGATTGATACTGATTGAAAGAAAGAGATATATATAGCATGAAATGCGAAACATGCGATGGAAATCAGACGAGAACACAAGAAGGGTAGGAGCAATTTTTATATTGGAGAAGGAGTATGATTTATAGTTATGAGTTATATGTGAACCTGGTGTGTTTTTGAACGATATTTGACATATGAAGAATCGAGTGATCCTGATCAATGAAAACGGCGAGACAATGTCATGATTCGATTCAGAGTTAATTGAACGGCAGACGGTCGATGCACCGATTTCGCGATACAATTCAATTTTGCAATTACGTAGTCTGTTGATTTGTAAGCATAGTGATGTTCGGCCAATGAGCATGCACGCATGCATTCAGTAATTATATTTCATTTACGCAGTGGAATTAATTTATAGCTTTGTTTACTAGTGTGACAAACAAAGAACACAACAATACGAGTGATCATACATATACATAACTAACCATTAAAGATATGTTAAGTTCCTATGCATTGTTGCTATACAGCATCATTCCCTTGGTAGTCTTCTTTAAAATATGATCGAGAAGATAATCGTTGTATCAATATGAGAGGGGATAAAAGGTCCACGAATAATAAGAGAATCACAAACTAATCCGATTGATTTCGATGTTTATTTTAATAAGAAAGATTGTACGAGACGAGACTGTACATGTCTAAAAACGATAATACCGTTTTACTACAATGATCCAAGATCAAGAAGGAGAACATGAGTTACGTTAGGTTCTCTTTTAATAAATATGCTGATTGTAAAAAATGTTCGATATTCAAGATATAGAAGTAGGTACAGTTTGGTTTCATGCCACAGGAACATCAGCCAATGAACTTTCTAAAGCAGCCGATAAAGGCTCATGTTCGGTAGATTCTTTCGATTCTTCGGCATGTTTTTCGATCTTTTCACCATAAAGATCACGATATTTGCGTCGAACCGCTTCCCAATCGACAACATTGTCGATTCTGACAGCGTTACTGAACGATAATTGGCTACCAAGAGGACTGAGATGAACAACCGATAAGGCAACGCTATCCTTGTGAGCCACTTGAGACTTTTTCACTTTGGACAACCATTTGGCGCCCATTCTGGATCGCGCCGAAAGAACATTGGTTCTTTGCAGTCCCATCAAGCGGACGAGCGATGGTCGTTGCTTTTTTGCAGCACGTTTTTTGCAGAGTTTGTACAAATATGTCATCCAGGTGGTAAGAAGATTCAGTGGTGATGGCGCTGTACTTGTCCTGCGCATCGATAAACGTATCTGATCAATTAGAATTTCCACAACCAATTGAACGAACGTGTTTCGCTCAAATTGTGCGGGCATATGGCAACGTTCGTTATCGCATCGGGAATTAATACCGGTTCTATCTCGATTTTGATTCTCGAAGGGCATGCTACAGGAGAGCCCGGCATTTTCTTTTTTTCTTTCATCGTGCAACGATTATAAATCCTTACCTGTGCATATTTCTAACGAGCTTACTCAATCCGTATTTCCACTCGATGTCGGACTGAGCTTGTATCCGTTGGTAAGTGTCACTCATCATGGCAATTAGTAGATTAATCAGCACAACCACCGAAACCAGCATATAAATACCGAAGGCGAGCTTGAAGAGAACTTTGGTCCAGTCGGGCTGTTCTGTATGAACCTTGAATTGTTCGTGGGTTGTCTGACCGAAGATGGCGAAGAACAATAACTCAACGGCCAGTACGGGACTCATCTTGACTGGAAATACGTGGGAACGATACGTCTCGTGAAAACTTTGTGTATCGCGATAGATTTTATGTTCTTCAATCTGTTTGTATGTACGTACATGTTGCGTATACTTGTATGCGTGTAAGTACATGCGTGTAAGTACTGTTGGCCTTGACTTTTGTTTTTAAGTTAGTGTCACTATGGCTAAACGCTAAATCGTAGAAGGACACTTTGTTGTAGGATTTTAAACTAAGGGATGCGTTTGTAGGAAGGAACTTAGATAGCTCTAGTTGAGCAATCTTCTAAAAGTCCTATAGTAGAAAGGAATCGAAAGGAGTTGTAGTGCAGTCGAAAAAGGGGTAGCCATGCTGGGTCAAACGTTTACAAACGCACGATACGATAGTTGTACTTCTCTATCTCGTGTTCGCGAGACTACTTACGTAAATTCCGAAATCATAGCACGTTGATTATATTTCGCGAATAGGCGGTCGATCTTCAAAAGACACTATGAATCCAATTACGAATTGTTACCTAGAGTATTTTGATGCTGTAGCTATTTTCAATGCGGTAGTAGCGCGACGAGAATTCGTATAGCCAGAGCATTGTGTTCGGTAAACGATCAAATTTGCAATCATCGAATCGAACTTGTGTGTTTTTCCGAGGCGAAGAATCAGCTTCTTCTAGATGGGTGGTGTCGTAGTTGTTGGTACCGTAGAGGAGTTAGAAGCAGTCGGTGCATTATCATCCTCGTTTTCGTCATCCTCGTTTTTGGCATCCTTATCTGCTTCTTTTTCGGGCTCGTTCCCGGACAGAGCCAAATATTTTTTACGAATCGAGTCCCAATCGACTACGCTCTCTATTCGTGTAGCACTATTGAAAGACAATTGACTTCCAAGGGGACTCAAATGTACCACGGATAAAGTTACACTATCTTTTGGTCTGACTTGACCTTTCTTCACTTTGGCCAGCCATTTCGCACCCATTTTCGATCTAGGTGAAAGACGGTCACCTCGCTGAAGTCCCATCATATGGACTAACGAGGGACGTTTTCGTTTCGCAGCGTGTTGCTTGCACACCTTGATGAAGTACACGATCCAAGTAGTGAGCAAGTTAAGAGGCGATGGGGCGGTGGTCGTTCTGCAACACGGAATCGTGTGTCCAGCCTATCCCGCAGATTCATGTCACGAAGAACAACTACACGGTGACGGAGCATGCGGCGCAAAGGCGATTCAATGCGAGGAACTGATAACGAAAAGTAGCGTAGAGTAACAGACTTTTGTTTTTTCGAGAATGCGGGTCGCTTCCTTAGCATGAGAAACGGAAATATATAGGCGGATATGTAAATTTCGATCGCGGGTCTGTGAGATCCGACTGGTCTTGCATACGATACACGTTTACCGGCTTACCTGTGCATATTTCGGATTAGTTTACTGAGTCCATATTTCCACTCAATGTCCGATTGCGCCTGTATCCGCTGGTAGGTGTCGCTCATCATGGCGATCAGTAGATTAATTAATACGACTACTGAGACCAACATGTATACGCCAAAGGCCAACTTGAACAGGACCGAGGTCCACTGCGGCTGATTAGTCTCGACCTTCAGTTCGCCGTGGGTCGTTTGGCCAAAGACGGCGAAGAACAGATACTCGAAGGCAAGTACGGGATTCATCTTTACTGGAATTCGAGGCACACACGTTTCTTGATTTGTCTTTTTTTTTTT